AGGGGGTTGAGAGAAGGTAGATGGAACTTCGGGGGATGGGCAAGGCCCAACTGCCAACAGCAGGGCCCAACTGTGACTTTGGAGCCCAACAACCTGGGATGTCTGTTTCTGGAGCCTCATCTACATGTTCGTCAGTTCATTATCCACTCTCCCATTGAACAAGGACTCCTGGATGTCATCAGGGTCAAAATCCACAAGGAACATGAACGTCGTGAGTTTGTGGCCCTGGGGTGAGGAGTGGCTTACTATTAGGTCCCAGTGACTTTTCCTCTCCTGCTCAGCTCTGGTGCCCACAGGCAGTCCGGTGTGGGTGTGAGGAAGTTCCAATGACATTTTCCTTTTCCATGGAAATTGGAAGAGAGTCCTGCACCTTCCACTATGGAGAGTAGAGACAGAGAATGGGAGAGCGGTGTCTGAGACTGGGGTCTCTGATGACTTCATGGCTGTGGCATGCTTGGTGCCTAGGAAAGTTTCTGTGCAAACATGCAGGATGCTTAGCTGCTGTGATAATGCCCTCTAGGAGGAGGCTCTGTGCTAGAGTCTCATCAACCTTGATCTTGATCTCAGGCACATAGCTTGTGGGAATAGAGGTAATCTTTTGCTAAACAAAAACAATGTTTCACCATCTCTGCCACTTCTAAACCTGCCCCCATGACAGTCACTTGAAACAATGGGACTTTCTTGAGAACTAAACAAAGCTCCTAACTTTGCCATTGCTACTGTAGAATATAACTGGGGGAATAAGCTGCATAATGTTGCTAACTCTGTAAATTTTATGAATACAAAGAATAATGCTTGCATAGACTTTAATCTGATATTGAGACAATAAAGATTGCTGGCATAATTCTTTAGACTTGCTTCTTCATCAGAGAGCAGCAGCCCACCAGACCCCAGCTGTTAATTTCAAAATCTGCATCTGTGAGTCTATTTTCTTAACACCCCCCCCCCGCCAGCTCCTAGCTGGAAACTGCTAGATTCACCATTCTGTATAAGAATTCAATAGAGGATCAGCTTCCAAACCAGGATAACATTGCCTGCCTCCAAAGGGGAATCCCATGAGGAGGATCTTGAAGGTGACTCCCAGGATCCCTACAGCTTCAGTGGATCATTGTGCTCCTCAACCCACCACAGATCTGGGACATGGTAAGGGAGTCCTGCTCAATGTCCTGAGTTCTGGTCCAACTGAGACCTGCTGTGCAGTCCACAGTCACCGAGTTCTGTCTTCCCTGCAGAATCCAGCAGGATACCTCCACTCTCAGCCTCCTGTGAGCCACGCCCACCTGGGGCAGCAGTAGGCAGCAGAGGTGACCCTAGGTCCCCAGGCCTCCTCTCCTGCATGCTGCCGTCCTCCTCACCTCCGCTTGAGTGCTCCATCACAACGTAGCTGTCCTCACCTGCCTCGATAACATGGAACAGCTGGATGACATTGGGTGACTTGAGCCTCTGCTGTGTTCTCTCCTGCCAATACTCTGTGGTGGATGGAGGAGCTCTGCTGTCCTTTATGAATGACATTCATGGACACCCGGGCCCTGTTAGGAGTTGCCTGGCTAGTTTCACCTTGCCAAATCTACCCTGCCCAAGGGTCCATAGTACCTCATATTGACCCGTGATGGCCTCCTTGTATGAGGAGCTGCCTGCAAGGTGAGGACACAGGTGACGTCCTGGCTACACTCACTACACATCCTAAGCAGCAGCACTTACAATACTAACTGTACTAACTGCTGACGAGCAGCACGAATGCACAACGCCGTGGCTTCCCCTGACATGACTGCAGCCATGTTGGCTCAGAGCCACCACAGCTGGGTGTTCATTGTTGAACCAGAACCTGCAAATGACTCAGAGCAGTGGGGCTCTGGGGGAGCCTTGCCTCTGCAGCCTGGCTCTCCAGTATTACCCAGCCACCATGAAGTCCCTTGTTTTCCCTCCTCTGAGTATGTCCCTCATCTGAACCACATTTGGGGGATCACCCTGATCTTTCTGTGCCCAGAAATGCACCTCCTTCAGGAATTTCCCCGACTCTGTGCTCCTACCTCTTGGTCTGTCTTCCTCTGGTTCTTGCTCTCACAGCTCCTTGGGAACAGTCCTCGTACACTGTGAGTGGGTGAGTCCAGAACAAGTGCTCAGCCAACAGAGAGACCAAGGAAATGGGTGAGGAAAGGGAGCACCCTTGGGAAACATCCCCAGGTGGCCATGTGCAGCCAGGTGGGAAGATGGGGCCCTGTGCTCAATGATTGGGGCCCACAGCATGAACACAGATAAGCCCAAATCCAAGGGTTGAAGTGCTGTTTGCGGAATGTCACTTGTCCCATGGGGTTAAGGAAACTTGGCATCCTCATGTGAGCGCCCACCTCACCCTCAGGTAAACCCTAAGGCCCATCTGATAGAGAAAATAATTTCATCCAATGATATTCCATGTCGTACATGAGGGGCATGGCCCTGGGAAGGTTTCTGACAAGAACAGTTCTCCTTGGGGAAGTACTGGCGAGTCCCCGTGGACCCCGGGGCAATTGAGCTTATGATTGTCACCTATGCCCAGGAGCCTCAAGTAGCTACAATTGCTCTCTTTTGGGTCGTGTAAAACGGACTGAATATGCCTCTAGAACTGTGTGTCCCGTCTCTCCCCCACGCAGCCTGATTGTGAGATGAGAGGTTTATCACATGGGGGGAGGCCATTGGAGAAATAGGAGCCTGAATGTGTCCTGCCCTGGGTTTTCCTAGTCCAGCGAAGTCTGGTGGAAACAGGGACAGAATAAATGAGAGAGGAGAGAAAGGGGGACCCGTTAACAACCAGAAAGCTGGCATGGTGTGACTGGCTCCCTGGTGGCCTCCCAGGGAGAGATGGGAAGGCACCACTGCACCTGGGGAGCCTTGTGCAGGGAGCTGGAGAGGGACCACTGCTCCAGCCTTTCCCCCTGCGCAGGAAGGTCAGGGAATCCCAGCTCTGGCCCTGGGGCCACTCGACATGTACCCCTCCTCACCCTCTGTGACCAGGGGTGGGGCTGAGGTGGCCAGGACTCAGGGCCCTGGTAGCCCACTGGGAACCCCATGGGCAAGGGATCATCCCCTGGTCCTCCCAGGGAAGGAGGGCAGTGGTCCATATTTACTAGTAATGTCCTTTGTCCCTGAGAAGAGGCTGGATGGCGTTCTGCCAGGAAAGACACTCGAGGTCTCTGTGGGGAATTTCGACCTCAGGATGGGCAGTCAGTGCAGAATCCAGGGAGGAAGCCAACAGGAAGCTGTCGGCCCTCCTGTCCCCAGACAGGGAGGAAGTACCAGGCAGGACAAGCTGCCAGGTGCACAAGCAAGATGGGAGGCCCAGAGAGAGCTGCAGCAGGGTGGCACTCAGGTCCTACCTACCAGGCCTTCAGGAGTCCCTCTGGGTGGTAGAGGCCAGCTAGGACTTGGAGAAGGGCTGTGGACTAGAGGGGGTGGGGCAAGGTGATTCCTAGGGGTATGGGTGCATTGCCTCCCACTACCAGGGCTCAGGAACAAGCACACCCACCTTGTCTCTG